ACCCAAATTGCTATCAGATAACGCAGAATGTCTAACATTTGTTAAAATTAACTTACTCTATTCAGTGTACATGGGACACTTGGTAGCAAGTGAACTGTTAGAGGAGTAAAGGCACCATACTGACTGTTAGACTGAACTGTTCTTGCCCTCAGTATTTGCCATGTGTGCTGCCAATTCTAACTTTTCCTATCGCCAGCCTCTGCTTGGTGGTGCTGTATTTCTGTATTTCCTAAATGTGTGACACATGGTAATTGGATGGATGGTTCAGATAAGGTACTAGGCACGGCCTCAGAAGATCTGGATTTTATTTTAAGCTCTACCACAGACTAACTTCCTCTCTTGAGGCAAGTCACTTGATATCTCTCTGACTCAATTCCCCACCTTTATAACAGGCATTCTTCTATGTACCCTCTCCATACAACCTGTAGCGAGGAAAAATCGATCACCACGTGTAGACTGCTCAGATACCATAATGATGAATGCTGTAGAAAAGGCAATGAATAATAGCTTTTTTGATTTGTCACCTACGTAAATGTCCAATTGCATTTATCTACTGGACTCTCTCTGCTTGTGTGCTGAGGGACAGAGAACTTCAACAGCAAACACTAGCAAAGGACAAACCGACAACCTTGTGGTGCAGTGGGGCAAGCACCCTCATTTTCCTGCTCTGTTGGGGTGCATCTACACTGCACCCATAGCTCAAAATAAGCTGCACAATTTGAACTACACAAATTGTGTAGCTTATTTTGAGTCAATTTCAAAATGCCTTATTTAAAAATTTGGCATGGTCTACACAGCACTTATTTTGAAATAAATCGCTAATCCCAAAACGTCCCTTATTCCTGTGGAATGAGGTTTACAGGGCTGTCGGAATAGCGAGCCTGTTATATTTCAAAATAACGGGCATGCTCAAAAGACATGGAATAGCTATTTCGGGATACCTCTAGTATCCTTATATAGCTCCACAGTGTAGACGTAGCCTTAAGGGGTTTGCTGCCAGTTAGCCTTCCCCCAAAATAACAGGTGCCAAGAGAGGAGTGACATGTCCAGGCAGCCTGTAGAGTGTGCAGATGCATTATTCCTGTACAGCTCTGGTCACAGTTTCAGCAGGGAAGAAGACATATAAACAATATAGGCCCTAAATAATAATGGCTCAGTTAGGACTTTCTCTGACAAATACCAGGGACCTTTAAAAATAGACTTGAATTGATGAGTTCTGTTGCAGAAAAAGAAATGCTTTAAATCTGAGACTACTTCTTGTAACAGCCAAGTCATGGATGACAACAATAGATAACCCTGTTGCTAGAGGTTTCTTAATATAGTGAGTGGCTTTGGAATACACATCCCTCATCACTTAATTTAGTGCATTTTGTGTTCAGCCCCTGTGTGGAACATTGGTTTGTAATGTATAGCTAACAGGTGTTCTGTCCTTAAGATATCTGGTAGGTCTTACTGATGCAGAGTGGAAGAAAGGACTCATGGTAGGGGCGCCAGCCTGGGACTTGGCAGATCTGGATTCTGTTCTCTGCTCCTCCACACCTGGGGCAAGTCAGCTAGTCTCTTTGTGTCTCACTTCCCCATGTGTATAATGGGGTGAAGAAGGAATTGGAAAGATAAATAGAGCAATGACTTGGTGGTACCACATAAGCAGTTAAGACAAAAAATAATTTGGAGTGGAAGCATAAGAATCATACAACCCCATCTTACATGAGTTTTCTTGACTGTTTGCATAGTTTACCACTGGTTTACCATTAGGCAGAAAAATTCTTTGGCATTGAATCTCAGCTAATACAGGAACAAAAAAAACCTGGATAAAGTCCTGATCCAATCAAAATTAATGGAAGCTTCACCACAAGCTTCAGTGAGGTTGAAGGATTTCACTGGGAATTTACCAAAATGTACTTTTCAAAATTCAGATTATCCACGAAGAATCCCTAAACCTGCAACTGCTCTGATTCTGCCCAGACCTGGCCAAAATCCTCCATTAGCTCCATGCAATGTAAAAGCACTTGGGCCATGTCCATACAGACATCACTGCAGTGGCTCAGCTGTACCCACGCATTGGCAACACGTCTGATGGGGATGCTGCGAGTGTCAAAAGCTATATTTGGTTGGAGAAGCTCTCCCACCGACCCGACATCACACTGTTCACACCAGTGCTGATGGCAGGTGTAATTTATATCACGTGGGAGGAGTGTGTTTGTCACATCTTTGAGCTACATAAATTATGCTGACATGGGCTGTAATGTAGAGACAGCCTTGATTTGAAGCTCCCTCAGAAAGAGACACTCCTCACAATACTTATCTGTTGGTTTAAAATAGAGGTTGGATGGGCTCTTGACCGTGGAAACGAAAGGTGCCACTGGTACTGCACTTTTGGCTTTATATGGTTAATAGCAGCACTATGTGCAGCTGACATGGGCTGCCACCCAGTGGACCTAGAGCTTTATAAGAGATGTGCAGTGCCTATCGGCAGAGCATCACAGAGAGTAAGCTTAGACAGCACGGCACAGATCCCTAGAGGGTCTGGTCACCTTCCTAAACAAATAGTCTCTTTCATTCCAGCTTCTGATTCTAACCGCATTCCCTCAGAGTCTCCCCGAATGCTAACTAGTGACTGACAAACATTAGTTCATTGAACTTGCAGCCCCTTCATCATCCTGCAGCAGCACAAACTCTTTCTGTAAATCTCCAACTGCGCTGAGCTGTTCCGTTCCTTCCTAATGGAGCCTGACCACGAATCTTAATAACTTGCCCCTGAGGAAAAGGACTCTCATCAGAAGAATCCAGGTACTTCTCTCCCCTACTAATGTCACAATGAGATTAATGCCATGTATGCTTTCAGTTGGGATGAATTTAAAATATGAACCAGACCAAACCAGCCCTATCTCCAAAAAGCACTTCCCCACCCAAATAAACACAAACCATTTTAAAGCTTTGGATAGATTTAGATATGGAGACACTTCCTTCCACCCCTCAACTGCCCCATCACACTCTAGGGCTGTGTCCAGACTCAGGGGTTTTTTTCGGGAAAAGTAGCCTTTTTCCGAAAAAACTTCACCTGCGTCTAGACTGCAGCCGCGTTCTTTCAAAATTAAATCGAAAGAACGCAGCTTTTCTTTCGACGGCGGTAAACCTCATTTCACGAGGAAGAACACCTTCTTTCAAAAGTGCTTCTTTCAAAAGAAGGCGTTCTTGAATGTAAATAGGGCTTCTTCGAAAGAGAGCATCCAGACTCACTGGGTGCTTTCTTTTGAAAAAGCGGCTTGCTCTTTCGAAAGTTCCGCGTGCAGTCTAGACGCTCTCTTTCGAAAGAGGCTCTTTTGAAAGTATCTTTCGAAAGAGCCTCTTTCGAAAGAGGCTTGCAGTCTAGACATAGCCTAGGCTACTTAAACCCCACACCCAACCTTTGGTGGGATTAGCACAGCCACTTTTTGCAGAGTTTTCAAAATGCAGGTACCTTTAAAAAATAAAGACTCTCATTGAGGAAAAGCTGAATGTAAGTCTGGTTGCAGGAGTTAATTTTGTCTCTTTTCTCACCTCCCTCTTCACCAATCCACAAAAATAAAAAGGAATTGTGTTTTTAATTTAGTTTGTGGCTGTGCCCAAAATATACACAGCCCTTTTCATATAGAGGAAGATATTACTCTCGCTATGAATAGGTTAAGAGTAGGAAGAAAGGGGTAACAACATGCAAGTAGAGGGATCAAGCAAACAATGGCACAAGGCATATTAATAACTGACAAGTTTGAAAAGTGTTGTCTTAAAGTTAATCACATTCAGCAACCACTAGACCTCTCCCTTCTTCCTGCATCTTCCTTCCCTACAGCAATTTTCTGCTTCAGTTCTGGGGTGTTTACACCTCTCCTTCTACATAAATGAGCAGTTATCTAATAATAAATTAGCAGAGGATGTAATGCATTTCTTTTATTGTGGGCATAAGTGAGTGTAGAGGGAAAAAGTTAGAGAGGAAATGCTGAATAGAACATGCAGGACAACTGCTTTGTTTACTGAAATGACAGATGCAAGAGCACCTCTGTCTTGTGTGACCCAGGGAGCCTGGAAGAGGGCAGCCCATAGCATAACTCACTGTTTCTGACATACTCGTTGCTCTTACTCACTGTTATCACACTCTGTGTCTAAAAGGTGTAATAGGTAAATGCATTACATGCTGGTTGTTATTGCATAACAGATGCATGGGTGGTGTCTAAGCCCAGCTAGTCCCAGACAAAGGAAAGCTTGCTGCAGGCTTGACTATGTCTCCAATATAAATTAAGCAAGATATGACCAAAGACAACGAGAAGCACATTTACATGAGTAACACTTTTACCAGGTGGTGCTAGCAACAGCCAGGGCCAGATTCAAAATCTAGAGAGGTTCCTCTCCATCCAGCCAACATAGAGCTGGCTTGAGACCCCACCCAGTAACCTGGGAAATTCACACACCACCTCGGCACACCGCTGGGAGGCAATGCTTCCCCACTACAAGCACAGAGTCTGTGTGTAGAAAAGAAACTTTTAATAAAAGGGGAGGGAAGTAGAGGAGCATTAATTTGGGGAAACACCACAAACAGAGTTCATAAGCAAAACCATGAGTAACAGTTCCACCCCAAGTAGGTTGGGCCATGTCCTTTTCCTCTCAGGTTCTTAAGTCCAGCAATCTGAATGTCCCTTTCACATGCCCAACACTTCTCTGCACCCCACTCACAGTTGCTGCCCTTGGTCAGGGCAGACTCCAGAGTTCAGAGATGCATCTGCAGAGTTCACCTCCCATCCCGAAAAGGGGGAAGGGGTAAAGAAGCATCGTACTCATTCTACTGGTCACTCACCATCCTCCTGCTCTTGACCATTGCCATGGTGAGCATTCATCTCACCTCTCTGCCACCACCCGGCTGGCTCTCAGTCTCGATCTGCAGCCATCTACTTCTTGAATGTGATATCAGCCCATCAGTCTGAAATGATTTCAGCTCCCACTGATTTCAACTCTCAGCAAGCAGGATAGAAGAGACACCTAATGATGCCTATTTAGCCCTTGTTCTTTAAACCAGACCAAGCAGGGGAAGCCATATTTAGTCTTTTGCCCAACATAACTTTTTCTCATCCTTACCTTTTCTTAGCTCTCTGAAAGCCAAGCCTCTGGATTTGCAAGATATTTTTCTGCTGTGAGCCCTTTCATTTGGAACAATGTAGCACAGTCCTACTTTTCTGTATTCCTGCAAAATTACAAACATTGATAGACATCTTTCAGCTATCCCTGCATTTAATATAAACATAGCTGGTGGTGGTCACAAATTAAGTTGATTACAATGAGCAAAATACCACTCCATCTGCTGAATATCTAACACACCAAAGCAAACCAGGAGCAAACTGCCTTTACATAGACAAACTCAGGATTTCTTTCCCATTCCAGCTAGCTGTAATAGAAGCATTCCTTCACATCCTGCTTATGTATGCATGATAAAAAAGGCATCAGGAGAGCAAGTGCAGGAAGATGACCACTTAACAGTCTTGACAGGGAATGAACACTGCACCCAAGGAAACCTTCCTGCCTTTTGACACAGGGACATTGAACTTGGGGAATATATAAGTGGAGGCAAAAGCCATTGCTGATAGTTTCAAGTAAAGAAGGCAACTGCTTAGGCAAAGATTGTAGCTTGCTAGAATTGTTTTAGTCACTAGAAAGAATGTTTTTGGACCCTTTCCTATCCCTTTTGCTCTTACTTAAAATCACTTAAATCTTTGCTCTTTAGTGTTAAACTTACTCTTGTTTTATCACAAAACCATCTGAGTGCTGTGTATTAAAACGAAGTGTGAGTCCTCAGCCAAGTGAGCAGTCTGATGCGTCCTGTCCTTTGGAAGCAGCAAGCTTCTGTGAGAGTCCTGTGCAAGGGATTTCATGCTTCAGGAAAAACAGTTGTGAGGTGATTCTAGACTGGAATGGCAGGTGGTGTCACCCTGCAAGAAGAAAGCAGGGGACCATTGTGCTATGAACAGGCTGCCGTGTCAGGGCTTTGAGCCAAAGCAGCTCAGCACAGAAGCACCCAAGGTTACAGGGCAGGTAGTGACACAGGGTTTCTCTCCACAGAGATTAAAATTAGCCTGTGCCAGCTGGAGCAGGCTCACAAAGCTGTAAAATGGGAGACTAAGCTAAGGGTATCTGTCTAGTTGGATTGTATTATTAGTTTCTTTGTTTCCCTTTTATACACTGTATCTAAATTACCAGTGCCAGTGAATAACACTGGACATAGCTGTTCTATTTCCAGATGTGCAAAATCCTGAATCGTCTGAATTATATCAGTTAGATATAGTGCTAATATTTCTAATCTAAAAGAGCAATTCCTTACCCCTTAACTACTATAAATCTTCATCTTCTAAATTATCTTTAACTTCACAAATACCCTAACAGGAAGATTCTACTTTTGAACATGTTATAACATGTTCCTCTGAAATTACCTTAGCTTGTGCACCTGTCTTTTGTATATGAAATAAATGCTTCATAAATAGAAAGTCTAACTGTTCAATCCTTGTAGCTCATAATGACTGGCTCAAAATACCAGAAACAAATTTTCTTCATCTGTAATATCAGCTCTGTATTTCTTATATTGTATCTTTTCTAAGTCTATTTGAACTATGAAACGAAGGCATATTTCTAAGTTTTCTAGATTTCTCTGTTTACAAACTTCATGAAATTATTCAGTTTCTTGCAGATATGACAAGTTTGTCCTTATGTTGGACATTATTTAGGGCAGTACTTCCTACCACAAGTTGAACATTCTTATGCCGATATGTTTGACTTCAGTACTTTCATTGTTTCCCTGTTTGTCTTTTTACTCTTTCTTAAGTCTATAGTCACATCAGTTTGTTTTCTTTCTAAAATGTACAGTCAGTTTGAATAAATTCATCAGTTTAACAAATTCTCACTCCTTTTTCTTGATTTATATCTGACTCTTCCAACAGTCTTTGGGAAGATATCTTCTATACCCATCTCTATTTGATTTCTTATCATTGACTCAGATCTTTCAAATGTTTGCTTTCTTTCTGTTAAACAATATTCCTCAATTTATTTAAAGGCAACCCCATTCAGCTCATTCTCTATCATAAAGTTGAAATAAATTCCATCATAGTTTCAGTACTTGCAATATTCAAAAAGATGTCAAAAAGATGTCCATCTTTGTTATCTTCCTTATGGGTAGATCATTATGCTTTTGAAAATTAATCAAATTCTTTTTAAAACCTTTTCCAGTTTTCTGCAGCGTTTCTCAACATTTTTAGAAATGTGGGAAATCTTAATTGAGCCATCTTCTTTCATTCAAATGTGGTTTTAGTTCTGAACAAACTTTACATCAGAGGCGTGGGTGTTTAACTTCTTTTTATCACTTCCTTCACTCTTGATACTATGTGTTATTTTACATTCAAGTAATACACTAGTAATAATTCGTTACTAGTAACTTAACAACTGGAAAAAATAACCAGGGGCATCTCCCCTTTATTATTAAGATGCCAGATTAATTTATTTATTGGGTAATTTAAGGGAACACACAGCATAACTTGTCTCATGAATGATAGCTCACAGCCAACCCGGCTGCAAATCACGTAAGGACTGGAAAAACTTAAAAAACATCAAATAGTTTAGCAGCACCTTAAAGACTAACAAAACATGTAGATGGTATCATAAGCTTTCATGGGTACAACCCACTTCTTCAGATGACTGGGTTGTACCCACAAAAGCTTATGATACCATTTACATGTTTTGCTAGACTATTCGTTGTTTTTTAAGTCTTTCCAGTTACGCACTAACTCGGCTATCCCTCTGAAGCACATAAAGATTGAGAGTGAACATTGATCTACAAGTCATAAAAGTATCTAGTTAAATAAATCTAGTTTTTAGAATATGTTAGGATTTTCCTTTATATACAACCATTTGTTTTCATTACTACTTCTTGCTATTACTAAAATCTTTATCTTTTGTTAAATAAGCTACCGTTGATTTCACTACAAACTTATCTAAGTGCTGTGTGTTAAGCTGTGTGGTGATTTAAAACAGTGGCTCTCAACTTTTCCAGACAACTGTACCCCTTTCAGAAGTCTGACTTCTCTTGAATACTCCAAATTAGACTTCACTTAAAATTGTTTGCTTGCAAAATCAGATGTAAAAATACAAAAGTATCACAGCACTCTGTTACTGGAAAATTGCTTATATTTTCACCACATACTCCAACGAATCAACTGGAATATAAATATTGCACTTACATTTCAGCATGTAATATATAGAACAATATAAACAAGTTATTGTCTAGATGAAATTTTAGTTTGCGCTGACTTTGCCAGGACTCTTTGAGTATTTCTAGACTACATGGCTCTGTCGCTAGAGCCATGTAGATTAGTTTACTAGACGTACCCAAATGAAGCAGTGATTTAAATAATCACCGCTTTATTTAAATTAAAATGGCTGCCGCGCTGAGCCCATCAGCTATTTGTTGGCTCAGCGCGCTAGTCTGGATGCTCCATGGTCAACAACAAAGGCATTTGTTGACCGCCCCAGTAAACCTTATCCCACGAGGCATAATGGGGCAGTCAACAAATGCCTTTGATGTTGACCGCAGAGCGTCCAGACTAGCGCGCTGAACTGACAAACAGCTGATCGGCTCAGCACGGCAGCCATTTTAATTTAAATGAAGCAGCGATTATTTAAATTGCCGCTTCATTTGGGTATGTCTAGTAAACTAATCTACATGGCTCTGGTGACAGAGCCATGTAGTCTAGACATAAGAACATAAGAACATAATAGACATACATAGACATACCCTTTATGTAGACTGCTGTAAAACTTAGCATATATCTAGATGAGCTGATGTACCCATTGGAAGACTTCTGCACACTTCCTGGGGTACACGTACCTCTGGTTGAGAACCACTGATCTAAAGTGTAACTGGTAAGTTGGGGTGTACTGTTCCTTTGGAAATAACAGATCGCTGAAATAGGGGGGCTGGACACTCCAGGGAGATGCTCACAGGGCGGGAGGGGGGGGCAGAGTTGGAGTGTGTCTGCCACTAATCTGTAAAGGGGGACTAGGGCTTGTGGAGACCTGGAGGAGAGTACTTGTGTTCCCTGCAGCCAATGGAGTTGCAGAGCTGACCCCTAGCAGGCACAGAAAAGGCTTCTCATGCTGAGGGTAGATGATGCCTCCCAGTCTTGGGTACACTTGGTAGGCAATACAGATATTTGAATTTGAGAGGATGCTGGCATTGCCATCACTTCTAAAAGTGCCATGTTCAGCCTAGTCTCGCACCCCCCTCTCAGATAGGAACAGCCTGGTACCGCCACAAACTCCTACTTGATGCAGGCCCCTATTCTGTGGGATAGGCTGACAGAGCCCATTATGCCCCTGGCCACCCTCATATGTTATTTTGTGTTTCTAAGCCTTGGAAACAAAGCATTTTTATGAGACACCAAACTAAAGCTGCTTGACTTCACAGACTATATCCCCTGTGAAATAACTCTACAGAAATCCTTTGTCTTTTCTCCTCACACCAGCCTGCTTCCTTTCTTCCTTAGCCACAGCTTCTGCCAAAATCTGTTCAGGAAATATAAGCTTTGGCACCTTGTGACCCCCTTTAGTTAACCACAAACTGAATCATGCTGTACAGTTCAGCTGAGTAATAAAATATAATCTGATTGGCGGAAGGTATTAGAGTGGGCCACATCATTACAGATCCTCTTTTAACCCAGTTTAACAAGTTGCTCCCGAGAAGTTATTTATTCTAGCTGTCAACGTACTGTTGTTGAGATGACAGCGATCAAATCTCTTTGAGATCCCAATCCTTTTCTTCTCAATCCTGCCTCATGTATTTGCGCCTTGGATAAGCAATCTGACTTTTTGTCAGCAAAGCAATTTGTCTGAGATTAATCACTTACTGAAAGACACAACAATGCAGTTTTTGTAATACCAACATCAGCCATTAACATGAAATAAATATAGAATCAATAGCAGGCACATGTGAATCATGGGGAGATGAAACACATGAATTGCTGCTGTGTTGGGCACCTTGCGACTCTTCATTTAAAACAAAACCATATTTCACAATTGTGAAAATCCACTGGCACATTTTGCCACAGCTGCAAATTAGAACACCAACACTCCTGATCTCATAGAGTACATCTACACTGCAACGCTATTTTAAGATACCGAAGTATTCCGAAATAGCTATCCCACATCTTCACAGCAAGCCCATTATTTTGGGCTTGCTGTTCTGATGTCCCTGTAAACTTCATTCTACGAGGAGTAAGGGACATTTCAGAATAGCACTTTATTTCAAATTTGGTTCTGTGTAGAATAGCACCAAATGATGAAATAAGCTATTTTGAAATAGCACTGAAATAAGATATGAAATAAGATAAGTTCAAATTGCATATCTTATTTCAAGTTATGCCGGTTGCTGTTATTAAGTACAAAGAGTCCTTTTGTGGCGTCCTGTTGGTGTAGAGAGTAGTGAGGTTTAATAAGCACACAGAAAACTATGTGCTTTGGCCATTATCTTTGAAAACTCGTGGAGATCAGGAGAGATCCCGGATGATTGGAAAAAGGTAAATGTAGTGTCCATCTTTAAAAAAGGGAAGGACAATCCAGAGAACTACAGATCGGTCAGCCTTACCTCAGTCCCCAGAAAAATCATGGAGGGGATCCTCAAGGAATCCATTTTGAAGCACTTGGAAGAGGGGAAAGTGATTAAGAATAGTCAACATCGATTTACCACCTTGAGGGAAAGAATTCTCTGTAGTAATTCAGACTATATCTAGACTACATAGAATTTTTGAAAGTGAAAGTAGTCTGGATGCATTTTTTTCAGAAAAAAAAACCTTTTTGAAAAAATCGCTCTTCCTTAAAAAAGGAGGTTTATGCGTTTTTTTCAAAAAAGGGTTTCTTTCCCGAAAAAAAATGCGTCCAGACTGCTTTCACTTTTGAAAGATCCTCTTTTGAAAGTGAGATCAGAAGAACTGGAATTTGCATACCCTTTAGAAAAAAAATCGTAGTTTAGACGTGCCCTCAGAATCTTCTCCATTTAGTGCCCAATCTCTGGCCACTGGGGATATTTGCTACAAGCTGTCACAGGTGGGCCACATGCCATCTTATCATACCATCCTTTGCAATCTTTATTAATGACCTGGATGAGGGTTAGATTTCACCCTCAGCAAATTTGCAGATGACACTAAGCTGAGGGGAGAGTAGATACATTGGAAGGCAGGGATAGGGTCCAGAGTGACCTGGACAGATTAAAGGATTGGGCCAAAAGAAATCTGATGAGGTTCAACAAGGACAAGTGCAGAGTCCTGGCACTTGGGACAGAAGAATCCCAAGCATTGTTACAGGCTGGGGACTGAATGGCTAAGTAGCAGTTCTGAAGAAAAGGACCTGGGGATTACAGTGGATGAGAAGCTGGATATGAGTCAACAGTGTGTCCTTGTAGCCAAGAAGGCTAATGGCATTTTAGGGTGCATTAGGAGGAGCGTTGCCAGCAGATCCAGAGAAGTTATTATTCCCCTTTATTCAGCTCTGGGGAGGCCACATCTGGCATATTGTGTCCAGTCTGGGCCCCTCACTATAGAAAGGATGTGAACACATTGGAGAGGGTCCAGCGGAGGGTCGATCAAAATGATTAGGGGGCTGGAGCGCATAACCTATGAGGAGAGACTGAGGGATTTGGGTTTGTTTAGTCAGCTAACAGGAGAGTTTGGAGAGGGAGTTCTCCAGGTAAAAGAGGAGTAAAAACGGGACCCTTGTGGTAAGTGGCTGTCTGGAGTGTGTGTTTGTGTGTGAGGGAGTTATTTGCAGTGTGCTGAGCTTTTGTTTGTCTGTTTGGTTTGTTTGTTTGGTTGGTTGGTTTGTTTGAAGGAGCTTCTAAAAGGTTTGAAATCTAGAATCCTCTGTTAATTGGCTGAGCCTCAGTCAGGGGAAGGGGCTACCAGAGCTATATAAGCCTGTGACTCAGCGACCAGGGAGAGCGTGAACAGGAACAGCTAACAGGAGAGTTTGGAGAGGAAGTTTAGAGGGGGAGGTTAGAGGGCACTAGTGACTTCTGACCTTCTTTAAAACATAACTGTTAGAATAATCTATATTACAGAGGTTTAAAAAAATCCCAGTTTATACTTAAATTTATTCATTAGAAAAATGGAGACAGAAGCCCAGCAGCAGAGTGGGGGCTATCCTATTTATTGTGTCGAGTGTAACATGTATGATTACCTGCCCTGTGGGCGCGTGGCATATGTGTGCACCCGTTGCAAGGTACTCCTGACCCTCAGAGACCGAGTTCGGGATTTGGAGGCCAGGGTGGCTGAACTGGAGGAGCTAAGGGAGGTAGAGAGCTATGTTGATGAGACTTTCCGGGACACTGTAGTACTGTCCCACCTCCAGTTTGAGAGCCCCAGTGCTCTTAAGGAGGATGAAAGTCTCAAGGGAACAGAGCATTCAGTGGGAGCAGAGGGAAACCATCCCGTAGTTGGGACCCTCCTCCCAGAGGATGTTGC